CTCGTTAACTATCGAAGCTAGCGAAAACTTTTTATACAAAAATTGTAGATCTCGTCATCCTCTACAAGAAAGGTCATATACAATTTTCCCATAGATTCAACAGTTTGGGAGTTATTGGCCAAAAACGAAAATTTGGAAGAAATTGAAGGGGTACCCCTTGGAAAAATCTCGGAAAAATCGAAAATTTTTTTTTGTTGTTTATTATTAGCAATGTTCTTTCGACGTCTGATTTCTTTTTAAAAAATGCCTTTCTAAAGTGCATAAACTTTTGGAATTGACTGTATAGCCAATACATCCTTAAGGTATCCTATTTGCAAATCATTTTCCAAGTATTACGTTGCTGTTTGCATAATCATTAACACATTAAAAAGAAAATGGAATTACAGCAACGAAATACCTTCTTGATTCAGGGGAAACTTTTATCTGGCGCAGAGCCAGCAGACAGGGTTTAGCATAAGGAAGCAATCGTTCCATAATTATTCCTCTAAATTTAAGTTACTTCGGACCGTGAATCACATACACGTGCTATAAGTTCTACGTATAACTCTACAACCACTGTATCTCAAAGGAGCGAATACAACTTCTGAAACTGACTCTATCCGAATTTGTTGACACGTTCTTTTTATATCAAAGAAAACAACTTACACGACAGTTGATTTTTGTTTAACAGGACTGTCATTGTTGGTTTTGGTGCAGCTCGGCGCCGAGGCGCACTCCTTGGCCTTAACTGTAAGCATTGTCGGCGACGTCTTATTGGCAGTGATCGTCGGCGAACTCGGCGAATATTTCTCGCGGGTTGCTTGCCGGCGACTCTTCACTGCCGGTGCACGATACTTCATCCGTGCTTCGAGTCGTTCCTTGGCGATGTTAGTCGCCGGGCTGAGCGGCATCCGCGTGATTCTTTCCTTGCACCAAGCCACGTGCCTCTCGTACGCTTTGACGCCGAAATGTCTATTACAGGTAGGACACATACCCTGCTCGTTGGCGCGTGTCGGCGCGTTTGGTGTAACCGTCGTACCGCACTGTTTCTGCATTGTGGAACCTGCCTGCACACATGTAATTTCATATTAAATAGTTTTTGCTATAAAGCTTTCACGTCATCCCTTTTCTTAAAAAAATTCTTTGAATCAACTGAAGCTTTTAAGTATCGATTATTAAATTTTATTTAAATTGAAACCTGAAAATAATAAGAAGTATCCCTATTGATCAGAGTTAAGATTTTGCAAGAACAAGGCAGATAATTTATAGACTGTGTTGCAAAGAAAATTCATCTCACGCACGAATGAACTTGCATCACTTGTGATGCATCTGGGTTAATCAGCGATCTATCCGCAATTCTCATTTTGCGCTGCCTGCCTATGTACCGATATCGATTTAATTCTGCTATCTAGTATTCTACAATTGATTCGTATCCAAACAACATTTTTATCTTATTCATGAAATTGATCAGAGATAATAATGAACTTCGCGCGAAAATCATTGTGATTCTTGAAGCATCGTACGATAGAAGATTAAAATCGAGAATTCGTAACTACATACGATTTCGTTGCGAGCTGCGCGGACGGCCCGCAATAGATCATCGTGCGTCTGCTTCCAACTGGATTTCGGCTTCGAGGACCTGCCGTCCGGCGAATGTCGTTTCTTCCCTTGCCTGGGCAGGAACTCGGCCAGCTCTGTGCCCTGAATCCTCTGCTTAGCCGAATCGAACGGCTTCCTCTTCTTGTTCGTGGACCGCTCGCAGATCTTGGAGTGTTTCTCCAGCGACTGCGGCATAAAGGTCCGTGCGCAGATCGCGCACGGTAGAAGGATGGGCGGCACATCTGCATCCATTTACCGAGAATTAACCGGCTACTGCGATCCTCCTGTGCAGAGACAGGCACACGAGATGCGTCCGTGTATGGAGGCAGAGTGAGTCAGAACGATCCCGAAAACGCGATCGACTCAGATCGGTGAACCGATATCAACTTGCCCTCGAACAATTCTCTGGTCTCTCCCGATTGAGGTGTCCATGGTTTCTGACTCAGTCTGCGCGCCATGCGGGACGTTACAGTCGTTACACACTTCAACGCGTCGAGAGATGTTAGATTCAATGCCGATCGGTAACTTCAACTAAGGCGTTTTCGCATAAGAACCTCGTTGCATCTTTGAAAGCCACAGCGCGCTGCTTCGAGCGATCAAAGTTCTGTCTACGCACATCAGTGACGTGTCTGTTCGACGGTAATTCTCACAGGAACAGTCGCCGATACACGCGAACGAACTTTAAATCTTGCGCAATTCAAATCGTATTATAATTGTTAACACTCTGTTTAGTATCACGCTGTGTTAGAACGTAACATATCCAATTTTCACGAATCTCGAATCTGTTTGCCAAACTTGTCGTGGTCGGCGTCCGTCGATTCAGTTCTCAGGAAGAACTACAACGGCGAGTAACGGAAGTATGCGAAGGTCAAGCACGAATAAATCGGTAAGGCTTTAGTCGATAATCGATCGAATCGAATCTAGATACAGTCCGATTGTTTGAAACGCGTGCGAGTCGCAGCCACTTACGCGGACTCATTAAAACAGACAACGAGGAGGAGGAGGAGTATTTAGACGAGGACGAAGTGTCGCCCCCGCGAAAACTAATCGCCCACAAGAGAACAAGTTTCCTTTTTTGTCGTAACGAGTTAAACACATACTGTTGACTCGAACGTTATGTTTCTACTTGCTGTGTCGTAACGTGTGTTGCTCCTATGCGCCGATGATTCCTTCCGTCCTCGCTTCTCCGACGATGGCTATGGCTACGTTGCCAATGAAACGCCTGCTACTTCTTTACAGAAGGTGTTACCTTCACGGCCGGATTCACAATTCTACCGACACGTTATTTATCGGCGATCGCTAGGCGACGGTTCGCTTTCGTTCTCCTTTTGTGGTCCTCCGCGATTTTCGCTTTGTTCGCGAAGTGATTCTTACACATTAAACCAGTCGATTGGAAAACATTCATCATCGATAAATTCGACAACGCGCACTCAGACGTGTTTACTATTCGTCTTCCACTGTATTAGGAAACACTTTTATTCATTTTTATTTATAATGAAGAGATGTCAATAATGAATGCAGTCATGAATTAATACCACCAAAGCACACAATTTAATTAATAAGCCAATATATTTATATTATATAATACATGTTAGGCACGATTAGATCGCCAAGAAAAAAAAAGGTCAAAGTTAAACAGAATGCAATCCAAAAGGTAATGAAATCCTGAGAATTGTAATTCTCAGATACAAATCATACCTGGTTCGTCAGATGGCTCGATTTGTGTAATTTTTTCCAAATCGACAAGTTGCTCTTTTGATGAACACTGATCGTAGGGTGGCCCTTGTTCCACCCTAGCTCTTCTCGAAACGCAGCACAACATTGGAGAGAATGGAGACACACTGACTGAGTCTCTCTATCGGCACGAGGCTGTTCTTGAACGTACGCAATCTCGTTCTCTTCCCTTGTAAAAGGAGTTTATTTTAGGTGTCACTGCGAGAGCATCAGGAGCACTCGTTTCTTCCTTTTAATAGCGATGGAACTGAGACTCCCTTCTTGCGGTGAAAATCATTTAAATCTGATCTCCAAAGAAGTTTAAAATACTCTTGCCCGCTTCTTAATATGTATTGAAAACAATCTCGTCTTTTGATTCTGCTGTCGATAAAAGTTCAACAACTCGGGAGATTGCTGCTTAGTGATTACAGAACTCGGAAAGAACTAATATCGATTGCATTCAAGCTCATGTCCCTAATTCACCTTACGACTTCCGCTTTCGGTAAATATCGCGGTCGTCAATAAGTCACGAAACGATTGAGCACGTATAACAATAATTAATGTATCATTGATCAATAAACGACTGGACGACAGGAAAAGGAATCATAAATCCGGTGTTTGAGTAATAAAATCATATTCAGAAATGATCAAATAAAATCCAGTGGATCGAATAATTTTTTTCGAAATTAATCAAAAATGGAATACATGCAACAAATCCCTTATTTCTGTATCACGTTTATTATACAATATGTTTGATGGTAAGTACTTGCCACTGACATCACATGTCGATGATCGATTCACCGGGCGTCGATTCAGTTTTTCGGTCATTATTAAAATTAACACGATCTTACCTCTTTCGTCACCTATCCGATTCTCACATTCGAATAGCACCGATCTAGTTGATCGGGGATCGAAAATAAATTAGCTCGGACCCATCGCTAAGCGCCACACGGCTTTCCGCTTGCACACCTAAACACCTTCGGCGTTAGGTCCTCGTATATATTATTAGAAAGCGGATCCCGACCGCAAAATTGGTACCGGACGGAAGTGAGCACGGCGCGAGAAAAACTCGCGCAGCGTTCGCGGGTATCTCTCGACGCGTTATTTGTGTCCGACGAACCACCGCGTCTTCCTAAATACTAACTGACTAACTGAGACGGTTTGACATATGCAAACTTACCCTCAACCTCCGCCATGTTAGTAGTTAAGGGAAACAATGATCGCCATAGTAACCGGCGACGAGTACTCCGACTGTTGGAAAACCCGTAGGTTTTATCAAATTATTAAAGAATCGCGTTGTGCACTGGCCGTTGCTCCCTGCTTTGCGATTATCGATTTACATATTTGTTAAATCAATTTCTCCGCTTTCAAACACGCGAGATTCTTAAGGGAAGGATTCTACCGACAATAAATTTAACAATCTGCAGATTTTTGTAGTTACTGCTAGCTGAAGTTTTTAAAAAGGCGTGGTCAAATTTTTAGAGACTGAGGATATCTAAACTATCAAAACTATCTAACATAACATAATAATCTAAACTATTACTAAGGAACAGCTGATTACGCTGATGTATTCAATTAATTTATTTTTATTTCCATAGTTATTAAAAAATTATTTTCAAATAAACTGTTTTCCATAGATACTTATTTCCATTTGGTTGTTGTTAAAATAATTTCTAGCAATCTCTGATTAGCAATTCCTGTCTATACATATGATGCAATATACAAGATGTGAAAATGAATAGAACTCCTTTAAGTCAGGTTTTATTTTATGTTATTACAAATTACAGAAATAGTTAGGGCAGGGATACCTTTGTACAGAATCTCTTCTTATTAGAATCTATCTTTATTTATAATGTATAATAGATTATTGTATTGGGCAAGGTTTAAATGATCTGTTTGTGGATAATGTTGTGGAATGTTGTTTAATTAATGGAAAGAAAAGAAATAACGAAACATTGAATATTAATCTTTAATGCTCCAGCTGCAAACAATAAGAGTGACTCTTATTTTATTACACTATTACAGTATCCTCACTACTCCCCGCTGCTATTGAATGAGATGGTGGCAGAAGGGCGCGCGTCTTTCTCCTTCTCTGTATCCCCTATCTGATTGAGAATCCTGTAATTTCACCCTGCGGGCTTCTTAGCAACAACCAGTGTGGCGCGGCAGTAGCATGGCGTCCTTCATTCTTGGGCATTTATTATAACGAAGACTGCAACAAAGAGCGAGCGGCAAGCATCTTAAATTATTCATAAGAGTCTATAGCTATTTTTGGTCAAATTTTAGCCGCTCGCTGGTGTCTTTAGTAGCTTGTTTTTAATATGTAACGTAATAATTCTATTGTCCCTCCAATTCATGTAATTTTATTGCACGTTTGTGATATTTTTATGTAACGAGGTATATTTTGTTCTGTTATTTTTATATAATATACAATTCTAATTTGCTTAGATTTCTGAAATTTTTCGTACACTTTGGTTTTATATATTTAACTACTTTTATTTCTAACCTCGAAAGAATTCAAGAATTAACTGGTATACAAGTTCCTTTTGCTGTGTGATACAGAAATGAAACGAAGCATGCCGGGTCATTCTCATCGCGATCAGAAGAGTAGATCAGCACATAGTGAAGATGGTGAGCAGAGTCAAAAAAGAGCAGAAGAAGAACGCTTGCGACGTAGACGGGAATGGATGATACAGCAAGAACGGGAACGGGAACATGAAAGGCTGAAAATGAAGAAGATTTGGGAATTTGAGTTGGAATATGCTCGTAAGAGAGGCCTACCATTGCCTAAGAAGCCTCCACATTGTAGTCGTAGCATGAGTAGAAGCAAATCTCCACAAAATCCACATAGAAGAAAATCTATATCAAGTGCACCTAAGACGTCCATACTATCTGAGAAGTAAGTATAAAATTTACAATGCTTCAAGTAATATGTATACTAGCAGTACAATATTCAACGATTAAATGAGAATTATTTCATTTACCTCATAATTATTAGTTTGTGAAACAATCTGGATTTTAATGAACATATTTTTGATCTTACAAAACAGGATATTTTTCATTCCAGATTAGATGGTACAACACCTGTATTTAGAGGACCAGAGGGTACACAAATTAGTATTGCAGCATTAAAAAGAATCAAAGTAGATATTCACAGAAATATTCCTGCAGAAAATACGAGTGGCGAACTGCGAAGAGATATTGTCAATCCCGAAGATGTGCTGCTCATGAGAAGACCGGGTAAAGTGTTGTTCTTTAGCGTAATTATTTGAAACCTTTTAGTCATTCACGGAAGAAATGCCGAACATGGATATAAAGTCAACACGGAAGATGATTTGCTCTGGAGAATCCAAATTCAAGTTTCAAGAAATCGTATGCTTTATAATGTAAGGTTGAAAAACCTTGATTCTACTTATTTTTTCTCTGTATTACTTAAGTTTCATTGAAAATGATTCAATTTCACTATAACGACATTTGAAGAATGGAACTGTCTACGGCATGAAGATTCCGGATTTTATCATCCTGATCTATAAAGCTCAAGAATTAACTCGACTGTTAGTTCACAGTATATGTGGAATACAACGTGGGATCGGGGTATTGAACACGTAATGTGCAATACGTAAGCACAATATCTTTTATCCTAGATGTTTTAAGGTTGCTTATTTTTTTCTTTTGCTGCTTTGTACACTTTCGCCGTCGAGTTTGCACAAAGAATTATGTTCTTAAAGTATTCCTAAGACGAAAGTAACGATTTTGTTTTCTTTTTTTATAGTGTGATAATGTGCTCAAATAATTATGTTTGAATGCTTGATATTTTATTCATATTTTGTGCATTCTCTTAATGCTCTGCTTTTGGGCCGTTTGCATGCTAAGATGCAAAAACTTAATTTAAATATTTTAATTTTGGTGATGTTGTGTTGAAAGTTCACTAATCGGAAGAACAAATTTAGATAATTCTGCAATGGAAGATTCTAACTTTGATACTGAAGTTCATATTTCCACAGTCGAAGATGCTATCTTCAATACTGAAGTTTATAATTTTTCTATGGAACATGTGGAAGTCAATTAAATAATACAGATTCGTACTGTAAGCTGCAAGACTTGATTTTATTGAGTCGTTAGTAGAGTTTATTTAACTTCAAGTAATAGAATAATGGTATTTCAAAGATTGATTAAATGAAATATTTTTATTGTGAAATATTCAATTACTTAATTGTAACGTTTCATATCATTTTTTATCTGGCGCTGAAAAAAATTGTAAGTCTGATGAATTAAAATAAAACCAGATAAAATAATCTACATTACTGTTGTACTAAACAGTGAACTAATTCCGAATATAAAAAATAATTATATGCATCCCGTGTTATGGCTTACAATTATTCAGAGGTAGCCAGCTTATTTACATGCCAACTGTACTGCTTAATTGCTTCCTTCATATGCATGCATCTTAATGTTTTTTCTTTAAAAACAAATGTGTCTAATTCCAGGAGAAGGAGCCAAACCGATATTTGAAAGGGAAGAAATAAAGAGTGTAGTTAAGACGGAAGTTGAAGTTGAAGAACGCCGTACAATTATAGCTGTAAACAATGAAAACTTAGGTATATCATTTAAAGCTTCTTCCTTTTCTATATAGATATATTATGTGTTTAATATTGTGCAGGAAAATTAAAATTACATTTTTAATTTATAGGACATAAATCGGAAGCATCTAAAAAATATACTGTCACTTCAAGAAGCCGAAGTCACAGTCCACGGCGTACATCGTCTCGCCATTCCAGGTTTGTGTACGCAGTGGTAAAAGTATTCTGCAATGCAGCTGTAATTTAAGCTTTTAGTTATAAAAATATGTAAAATATGGATATGATTGTATACAGCTAATTTATGAACATAAAAGCGTTTTCCCATTAAATAAATAACGTACTTGTTCATAAATGGGACTAGTATACAAGCAACATTCAAATGGTTAAAGAATGTTGCATTGATGTATTGCACAAAAAATGATAAATGTAACTGACTTAAAATTAACGCTTAAACGCTTGGGTATTCATTTTGCGACTATGCCTGTGCATTTAATAATAATTTACATACAGATTTAGTAAACGTATCCTATTATAAATCACGTAAACGCCGGATGTTCAAGTGTTAATACATAATTTCTGAATAAAAATTCAAAGTGTAGAGTGCAGGAAAGACTGTGTGCGTGTGTATTTGTATATGTGTGTACATATATCACCAACTTGCTTGTGCTTTATTTCTTATTTCAGGCATGTTGTTTTGTGTTATTACAGTTTGCTTCTTTTCTAGCTTTATTAATGCTTCACACACTTCAAGGGAACAAGAAGGCACACAAACGGAACATGGATATGATTCACAGTATTCCCGACCATGCACATTACTTGTTCCTGTTGTTACCAGTCCTTATGCTTATCTTTTTGGTTCTAGCATTTAGCTTTCTTGTATGTAATATAAATGTGGATATACAAAACATAGGCTACCGTACTAATAAGTAGACTACAAGTTTTTTATCGCTACACTTTTCATTTCAATAGTATCAAATCAAATTTAAAAAAACGTAAATTTACTTTTATGGAATATTCAAAATTAATCTATTCAAAATAGCAAAAAGCAAACGTGTATTATTAATATAAAGTTCATAATTAGTATATTTCTTTGTTATTTCACATTGGTATATCAGATTTTGCAGTATACTTTTACACTTCTGGTAATATATTATTGATAATATGATTAGTGTCAAGATAGATACGAGGTAAGTAACACCAATTCTAAAAACTAATTTTAATGTGTATTTGAATGTATCGTTGATAACAATTTCGTTCAATTATCCAAGTCTGATTGTGATTTAATTTTGTAATCAAAGAAAATTTAATTGCCAATTCATTTTATCAATTTCAAATCACTCATCTGTATTTTGCTGCTTTAGCACAATTTTCATAAACAATTTTTGGTTTATATTTCCTTGCTTGTTATATGTATATATGTATAATGAAAATAAAAATACGAGAGATATATAATTATAAATATGAACAGAATATGGATATTAAGAAAAATGTATAAAAAAATAAACAGAGTAATGCTGCTAAACCAATATGGATACTATTTTAAATTAAATGTGCAAGCCAGTAAGTAACTAGAAACCTGGGTGTTTATTAATTACAATATTAACTCTTCTAGGCACGAGGACTCAAAACATGATGAAAAACACTTTCACAGAAGCGATAGGTATATATATTATTATTTCATCAGTGTTAAATACTTTCCAGTCGTGCTTCATTAGGTCTGATACAATCTCCATAGGGAAAGACGACGCAGTAGAGACAGAAGTCGAGAGCATAAAGAGAAAGATAGGCGACGTAGTCGATCGTCTGATTCAGAGGACTTGTACCTACGAGAAAGTCGTCGAAAAAGTCATCAAGATCACTCGCGTTCAAGGGTGAGAGAAGAAAAGAGATGGAACAGAGATTCTCACCATAGGTACGTATATCGCGAGATCTAATATAAGTTATAAAAAATTATATTTTAAACGCGTTCATATTGTTATGGTAGATTATTGAAAGACGAAAGGCCTTATCGCGAGTATCGTGAAAGGTCGAGAGAACGATCTCGAGATAGAAATGAACGGGACAGACCTAGGGAATGTGGAGTACCTCCACCGCATTATATTGAGCAGATTCCTGTTCCTGTTTATTACGGAGTCAGTATTTAATTAGTACCAGAGTATATAATCAGTATGCAGTATAATCATGATTTACGTGTTATATTTTTTTTATGTAGAATCTACCACCAAGGCCAATAATGTTTGGACCCTTGGTTCCAATGCGACCACAGGTTCCTTTAGGCAATAGACATCCTCCTATGATAGGTTCAATGAGACCATATCCACCACGATTCGTCCCTCCAGATATGTATAGAGTACGGCTGCCTCCAAATCATAGTACGTATTGTGTATCTACAGCTATGAGATAACTCAGGTGACAGAGGAGTATACTATTTGAATTTTATACAGGGTACGGACCGATGTATTGAGCAAATATTTGTGATAAAGTCGTTTTGATATACATACTATACATGAATGTATAGCACTTGATTAATACCCCAAATATTAGGCGACATACTATAGGGATTTTATAAAGAATATGTATCATGATTGATATATGCATACATTATGTTCAATGTTAAATTTTATTGCTGTACATATTGTATATGTGTTATATAGGTTTTTAACTACTATTTTATAAGCATTATTTACAAACATATGAGCATGTATAAGGCGATTGCTTTTTAAGTGAAATTATTGTGACGATAAAGCGAATGAACTTGCTGCTTTTTATAGTTTTAATCAATTTTTAAATTTAAACTGGAAAGTCAACTTAAAGTCATTTTCTGCTTTGGAAAACAGATTACATAATGTAAGAATGTATGTGCCTCACAATATGAACTGATAAAAATGAATGTATGTGCCTCACAATATGTATTGATGAAACTGACTGTATGTATGTGCCTCACAATACGTATTGATGAAAATGAATGTATGTGCCATTGACAAATTTTAATAAATTTTATCTTTGATGATATTGCAAGTTTGGTTTTTCTGTTTCCACCCGTTTCTTACCATTACATTGTACAGCTTGGGACAATGATTCCTGGCCAG